TGGCTTCCACAGAGACAAAATGTCTCATGGGCTGATGTGCCTCTGGCGAGGTCTCCAGGGCAGGATGTGTCCTCTCCAGAGAAAGCAGGTGCTCTCCATCTGTCCCTTCTGGGGACAGAGAGCTCCTCCGTCAGTCTCTGCCGATGCAGGTGGTGGCATCTGGGAGAGGGTGGCACCAAGAGGTGGGAAGTCCTGCTGCCCAGCAGCCTCGGCTCCCTGGCAAACCCTCCCAGCATGGCCACGGGGACGTTGGGGAGGTGGCCAAGGTCATGCAGCCCATCCAGGACAGGGTCGAGTTTGTCACGCAGTGTGCCATGTGCGACGGCTGCCGCGCGGGCGCGGAGTTTGTCCGGGGTGGCCCCTCCAGCTGAACCGGTGTCTCTGTGCGCTTGTGCAATGCAGTGGTGGGAGCCAGCAGCCACCAGGAAGAGGACTTCCGTTTCTGTGGTGACCGAAACCAGACCGAGAACAGCTCCATCATCTACGAGCATGGCCGTGCCACCATCAAGAACACGGCCCAGGCGCTGATAATACAATGGCCCTTTTCACCAGGCAGGAGAAACTCTTACTACAAGTACAGCTTGCCCCCCGCTTTGGGCAGGTACCGCTTCTGCATCTACTGGTTCAAGGCCAACAGGACCCTGAGGCTGGTGTACGGGAAGCAGAGGTTCCCCCTGCCTAGGGAAACATCCAGCAGCATCACCCGGGGGAAGGAGAGTCACAAGACTGAAGGAACCACCTCCATCTTCAATGTGTCCTACATCTTAAAGGGTGGGAACAACACCTCCCTTGACAGTGCATCGGAATACTCCTTACCAGGTAAAGGCAATTATTGTAATGAAATAAAGTGTTCGTTTCATCCCCAGCTCATTCTAGCCATCAGCAGAGCATTGGTGGTGTCCCAGTATATGGTACAGCGTGATGGTGTGAAGACACAGCTGAAGGGTGACAGAAGGGGACGTAGGTTTGCTTGAAGCAGCCCAGAGGCAGGCCCGGTACCCAGGCTCCCTAAAGATGAAGATGGAGATTTTCAAAAGTGTTTTTCCCCTAAAATCCTGGGAAATCGTGGGCTTTGCAGGGGTCTCTGAGGGTCCCACCTGCACTGCTAGGCACCTAGCCTGCTCCCAGTGGCCTCAGTGGGAGCTGAGCTCTGGGCGGCAGAAGCACCCCCCTGGGTTGGGGTCTCCATCAGCTCCCCGGGCTTGGGGTCACCTTGAAGCCCTCTGCTTTCTGCTCCCACCAGTGCTGTGCTTGGTTGGTTCAGGGCATGGGGAAGCCGGCTCTGCCCATGTGTTTCATGGCATTTCCTTCTGTGCGCCCATCAGTCTCTCCAGAGAGCATGCCCGTCTGGGAACAAGACGTGGAGGAGCAGCTCACCGCCTTGGACAGCCTCATCGCCCAACCCCCAGCGCCAGCCGCGGGAGCCACGAGGCGGTGAGTTCCCGGCTTGTGCCGTTCCCGCTGCCGCTGATGCAGTGCCCATCCCGCTCACCGCGCCCCTTCTCCGACAGCAAACTCGGGGAGCTGGAGAAGGCGCTGGCCAAGGTGGAGCTCGAAGGGCAGAACCAGACCTTTGGGAAGGCCACGGTGCATGCAACCGTCCTGAGGGTCCAGCCCACTCAGGCTCCTCGGCACCTGGCCTTTGCTTCCCAAAGAGAGGTGGGTCTCGGGCAGCCTGTCCTGGTGGTCTTGGCCCACTGGCATTCCCTCCCAACCGCTCTCCTGACAAGTCTCTCCTTGCAGGAGGGCGGAGAGGTCCATGGGTTCATGGTGGACCTGCCAAGCAGCCTGTTTGTGATGGCAAAGGAGAGGGAGGAGGTGGTGGAGCACAGGGTGCTCGTCATGGACATCAACAGCCAGACCATGTTCCAGGTAACACCCATGCGCGCGGCATGGTGGGGTGTCCCCGCCGTACTGGGGGCTCCAGTCATACAGGGCAGGAGGGATGATGCCCAGACCAGGGTGCCAGTGCTCGCTCAGAGAAGATGCTTCAAAGATGAGCTAGAAGCTTGATGGGGAAAGAGGGACCTCCTTCTTGGGGACTCTCACCCACTTCACACCTAGCAGCTCTTCCTTCCCATGCCACCACTGCCTTTTCTTCTTCAACAGGATGAAAACAGCAGCCATGTCTTGGGTGACAAGGTGGTTGGCATCTCCTTGGTGGACACGGTGGTGGCCAACCTCTTTGACCCAGTTGTTCTCACTTTCTTCCACAACCAGCTGCCGGTAGGTGGGGAAACAGCCTCGTTGAACCTGATCCCACCAGGAATGGAGGGGCAAGGAGGGGTCAGGCCCTGCTAGCTTAGAGAGCGGTCACAGTCCAGCAGGTCCATGCCCTTGGCCTGCCTGTACGGAGTCTGCTACATCTCCTGGGGCTGTATGACGATGGCAGCTTCACCGTGTGCACTGGTGGTGGCACTGCCTGCTGCTGTCCAGGAGATGCTGCTTTGTAGATGTGTTGCCTCCAGCACAATCTCCAGGGCTAGGGGACACTTTGGGTTAATGGTCCCTTGGCTCGTTCACGGGCCTGTCAGGTGCCTGCTCAAAGCTGAACCCCTTGTTTGAAAAAGGGGACCTGGGAGGAAGTATCTGCTCCACGAGCTGCCGAGAGAAGGGTCTCTGCCTGGAGCCCCCTCCCATGATATGGGGTGGTTTGTCTCCTAAGACCATCTCACCTCCTGCCCCATGTTCTCCTCTATCAAATGTGCTGGCCAGGCAACAAGCCCCCAGCTGCATCCTGATCAGGGCCCGTGGTTTTCTTGTTGCAGAGGAACGTGACCTCGCTGTGCGTCTTCTGGCTGGAGGACACCACCGGTGAGTGCTCCTGCACTGGAATGTGAAGCCAGGCGCTGCCTTTGCTCTTTTTGCAGAGTGCCACAGGCTGGTAGGGGTAAAAGTTGCTCTGCAGCTCCATTCCTTGCTCCAGCTCCATAAACCTTTCCCATGGGGTTGATTTCAGGTTTTTTGCTCCATAGCTAACCCAGGAGCTTTCTCCTTCCCTAGGGATGAGTCCTGATGCTGAGGGTGCTATCTGAGTGTGTGTGCTTGGCCTGGGACAGACTGGGATCCTCACTTTTGTCCTCCCCCCTGCCATGGACACCTTGCCCTGAAGATCCACAAACCCAAAGCAGATATTACTGCTGCTCACCAGATGCTTTTTCTTTCTCTTGAGCAGCCAGCTCTGGGAGCTGGGACAGCTCTGGTTGTACAACAGTGACGGGGCACAGCCAGACGGACTGCAGATGCAACCATCTCACCTACTTTGCTGTGCTGATGGTGGGTAGTGCCTTCCCACAGCTCTCTACATCGTTCCCACCAGCTGTTCTTCCTCACCATGTCTCATTCCTCCTTCTCCTCAGGTATCCTCCCCGGAGATCGCCTACATACACAGGGATTACCTGAGTATCATAACCTACATCGGCTGTCTGATCTCCGCTGTGGCATCCATTTGCACCATCTTCTTCCTCTACTTCAGGTATGGTCTGACAGGTGACCCCATGCTCCCTGTCTGCATCCTGTCCATTGCCACTACACCTGGGTGGGTGCAAGCTCTCCAAATGCAGTTAGTGATCTAGCTAGAAGCGCAATGAAGGACCCATGCTTGAAGAAAGCAGAGTTCTCCTCTCCAGAAACCACCCCCCTGGTCAGGTCTCCCACAGGGCACTTGAAAGCATTGGCTGTTTTTAATGATTTTTGGAAAATCAGCTTGTTCGTCATGGGTCTGGCAAGCAGAAGCCTGCAAAGATCTTTTCAAGGGCCTGGTGAAGAACATGTGTGTCTTCTCCTGAGTCATGTCACTGATCCTACGTGGATGATTCAGAGCTGAAATGATGTCTCTCCCTAACCTCCATGGCCTAGACCTGAAATGGAGGGTCAACTGCAGACCTGAATTTGCACGTGTAAGGGGTGGTCCCACCCACGGGGTTAGGCTCTCAGCTCCTCACATCACCAGAGGGTCTCCTGGCTCTTCTGGCTGGGGTGAGTTGCCCCAGCTGGAGCTGTGTTGTGGGACACTGAGGATGCTGGCCAGGCATGGTGGTGAGGTCGTCTCCCTCTCACTTCTCCAGAAGCAAGCAGCGAGACCAGATCACAAGCATGCACATCCACATGAACCTGCTGGCTGCCATCTTCCTCCTGGACATCACCTTCCTCATCTCCGAGCACTTGGCTTCCATCAGCAGCGAGGCAGTCTGCAGAGCCGGGGGGCTGTTCCTGCACTTCTCCCTCCTGAGCTGCCTCACCTGGATGGGCATCGAGGGCTACAACCTCTACCGGCTTGTGATTGAAGTCTTCAACGCGTACCATGACCACTTCCTCCGCAAGCTCTGCCTGGTGGGCTGGGGTGAGCATGGGGCAGGCAGGGATGCCCTGAGGACATGGGCAACGGGGGTGGAGGGGCACCTGGGCAGGTCTGTCCCACCATCTACAGTGCCTAGATGGGGATAGAGGAGACACAGCTGTGGGGGAGCAGATGCCTGAGAGAAGACGGGTCTCTGTCAAGAGACTCAGTAGAGAAGGAGACTTGGTGGCTGAGAGCAGAAGCTGGTGCTAGAGCAAGGGTGGGTCACCCTGGGGGGTCACACAGCAAGGAAGGCATGTGAGAGCCACTGCTTGGGGTCTTTAAATAGTAATGGGATCCTCTCTTTCTGAAAGAATCATCCAGGACAGCCCAGAGAGATGGGCTTGATGCAGGAAGCACCCACGCATCTCTGCCCTGCTTTGGGCAGGAGGCCGTGGTAGGAAGATCTCATGATCTTTTGTGGCCTAAAATTCCATGGCCCTGGGAGATCCCTGGCTGGGGTTGGTGCAGCACAGCTTGCTCCCAAGCCAGGGCTTACACCAGGCGTCCTTGTTACATTCACCCTTGGGAAGGAGGATGTTGGTTTGCGCTCTGTACGGGGAGAAAGGGGCAACAACTCCTTCCAAAAGGCCCGAGGGCCAGGGACTAGGGCAGCCACTTCACACTGTTCTTGACACCCAGGACTCCCCTTCTTCTGCGTGATGCTGATCTTCCTGGCTAGCTGGACAAACTATGGCCCCTTCTCCATTCCTGTCTACGAATCTGTTGGTGGCAAATACACCAACGCAACCATGTAAGTCATGGGTAATGGGTTGCCTTGTTCCTGGTCTTAGATAAAGTCAACTGACTAAACCTTCAGCGTGTCCTACAGGCTTTCCTTAGCCCACCTGTAGCTTTCTGGGGCTTTGTGCAGGGTGGTGGTGGGGGATCCCCCCTCCCTGTTTAACTGAGCTGGGTGCTGGCTTTGCACCACACCTTTATGCTTCCCCCAACCCCTCCAACTTTGTCCCTGTGGGACAACACAGCATAACCCTCTGCCCTTTCTCCTTCCTCCAGATGCTGGATCACAAGCCCCCTGATCCATAACATCATGAACCTGGGTTTCTTCAGCCTGGTGTTCCTCTTTAACTCAGTCATGCTGGGAGCGATGGTCCGGGAGATCCTCCGGCAGAACAAGAAAGGCCACAAGCTCAAGCACGTCCTAGCCCTCTTTGGGCTGAGCATCCTTCTGGGCATTCCCTGGGCACTGGTCTTCTTCTCCTTCACTTCTGGTGTCTTCCGCCTTGTCTCCCTCTATATCTTCACCATCATCAACTCCCTCCAAGGTAAGCCTGGGACACTGGGCTCCTCCAAAGGGCACCGGGGCTTTCATGGGGTATTGGTGGGGTGGTGACAGGGTACGAGAGGAGCCGTCCCTGGCAGGCTGGCTGGCTCGCTCTCGGCTGCTGTTGGTTCTTAGAGGGGGTTCATAGGCAAGCTTACGCAGTGTGGGTTGGATGAGTGGACAGTGAGGTGGGTAGAGAACTGGCTGAATGGCAGAGCCCAGAGGGTTGTGATCAGCAGCACAGAGTCTGGTTGGAAGCCTGTAGCTAGTGGTGTGCCCCAAGGGTCAGTGCTGGGTCCGGTCTTGTTCAACATATTCATCAGTGACCTGGAGGAGGGACAGAGCGCACCCTCAGCAAATTCGCTGATGATACAGAACTGGGAGGAGTGGCTAATACACTGGAAGGCTGCGCTGCCATTCAGCGAG